CGAGGCGGTGTATAGTACATTCCTATTCAAAAGAACACGCGCACGATGAAGTTCCCGAAGTGACGCCCAGGTGGCGCACGTGCTCCAGCCCTCCAGGTGTGGCGAGGGGGGGCATGCAGGTGGCTTGGAGGGGCCGAAGCCACCTGGAGCCACCTGCCCGGGCCCAGGTGGCGCACGTGCTCCAGCCCTCCAGGCAGGTGTGGCGAGGGGGGCAGGTGGCTTGGAGGGGGGCGAAGCCCTTGGCGCCACCCGAGCGCTCACATGGCCACAGGCGGCGTTTGGAATCTACTCCAGGTGCTTTTTGCACTGTTTGCCCATGGCCACAGGCGGCGTAAGCCATCTGCTCCAGGTGCTTTTTGCACTGTTTTGCCCATGTCCACAGGCGGCGTAAGCCATCTGCTCCAGGTGCTTTTTGCACTGTTTTGTCCATGTCCACAGGCGGCGTAAGCCATCTGCTCCAGGTGCTTTTTGCACTGTTTTGCTCATGGAGCAAGTGGCTAAAGCCACCTGCATTTTGTGCAAAAAGCTGCAAAGGACTCGTGGAGGCACGTGGCGCTTTCCGCGTGTGTCTCGTGCAAAATCCGGCATTTTGTGGCTTTCAGGTGGCACGACGCGATTCAGGTGGCGTGGAGCCTCCTACCTGGGCCCATCTATGCCTGTCCCGTCCTCCTGTGTAACCCTAGAGATGTGGTGCTGGGCAGGCCGAACATGCACAAGAAATCCCGTGCAAAACGGTTGAAATGGCACCGATTTACGATTTTCCGCGCGCTGCGCGCGCCGAGCACGGCCACGGCGCCAAAAAAGTGCTTGCCGGAGTCCGTTTTCAGTGGACGGACACCCAAAACGACATTTGCATCGGCCGGGCGGACAAATTTAGTGGCTGGGAGCCCCTTTAAGAGCCTTCTAAGCCCTTCCTGCTACTTTTTGAGCTCGGGTGCGCTCTGCGATGATGTGAAAATTGTGACCAAAATCCGCTGTGATCAAGAGGAAGTAGCTCGTAGGGATCCAGCCTTGGAGCACTTGGTCCAGGAGCACTTGGAGCAGGGACTGGTCTTACTTTTTGCGCTCTCTGCGCACGCTATTCGCGAATGCCCACCTCGTCGCTTCGCCTCGTCTGCCTCGCCGCGCTGCTGGACATAGCCGGCACGCTCGTCGTGCACCACCGCTCCGCGACACTCGCCGGATCCGGCCTCATGGCGCGTGCATGGCAGCCGCTGCGCGCAGTGCAGCTGCAGCCGGCGCAGCCCATCGCAGTGTTCCGCGGCCGCGCCGGCGACATCCGGATGGGCGTGCCCAAATTCTTCCGGTGGCTGACGGAGAAGTACCCGCAGATCAACGTCAAGATCTCGGAGGGCCGCCGCCGCTCCGACTATGTCGACAACTTCTACCTGGACATGAACGGCATCATCCACCAGTGCACGCACGGCGACGAGGTCGGCCCAAACGAGAAGCTGAGCGAGGAGCAGATGTTCGAGCGCATCTTTGCCTACACCGACCGCCTCATCTCCATCGCGCGGCCGCGCAAGGTGCTCTACCTCGCCATCGACGGCGTCGCGCC